AATGGGGACGCTTTAATACTAAGCATTGAAGAGTGAAAAGCGTTAGTATAAAAATTGTATTCAAATGGTTAAAATTTCAAAAAAATTGATGGATTATTCCAAAAGCTACATGATCTCCTATTTCCTTATTTATATCATGATTAAGATAAAGTATGTCGAAGGAAAAAGGGATTATTAAAAAATATTATTTCTCATAAAAAAATTGTGTTGATCCATATACTTTTCAAAAAGTTATAGCATTATAAAGTTAAAAATTAAAAATATAAAATTGAGAATTTTCACACAAAAATAGCATACGGTAGCCATTTTCATCGTGAAGATAAAATAAAATCCGATTTCTTTTTTTCATAATAAAGTATATTACATTAGCTTTAATTTAAGGTATATATAAAAGTGTCAGTATTTCCGGAACACTTTCAAAATTTAAGTTGAAAAAGATAATTTTTTGTGTAAAAGTTGTCATTTTGAATCCTCCCCTGTGGGCTAGTAAAGGGTTAAATTTACAATTGTATATGTTAATTTTTGAAAAGTTACGGCAATTTTTAAGGGTATGTCTTCGACTAGATACGATTTGTGATCTTTTGACGTATCGTTGAAAGAAATCGGTTCGGCGAGAGATGAGAAAAGTGATAACAGACACAAAAAAAAAACACATCATAGTAAAATTAATACCTTTTTAGCTTCGCATCGAAACTTATACGTCCTTTGTATAAACAATATATAATAATATTCTAATTTGTAACGTGACAAAAAGTATCTATTTAATCATCGGAACTGGTTCGCTAATTTTCGTCCGTAACGTGAGTTTTTTGTTGTTGTTGTGTGCGCTGCAACATTTTAATTTACTTATATATATTTTTCGTGAGTGTCCGCTACTATAATTTCAATATGTAATTTTTTTTATTGGCGTCAGCTGAACCTGCCTCAGGTTTCTTAAGCTCTTCGGGGCTGGTAATGTATATTTTTGTTTTTAATGTTTTGAGCCAGAATTTGTTTTTTTATTATTAGTACGCCGTGCCATAAGCACATGTGGCGAGTTTTTTATTTTATTAAATTTTTTTTAGGTGCCCCTATTTTTTTTATTTATTTAGGCCCCGCAACATGGCAGGCGTGTACAAGACCACCTGTCATGTTCTATCTATATTTTTTGTGATTTTTTTATATATAGGTGTATAGTTACATTGGGTGATGCATGTATATATTATTGGTACAATGTGGTGACGTAGTGCATTTTATTCCGGGGTGTCTCAACGTCTTGCAAGCTAAGTCTAACTGCCAAAAACCAGTCGCTTACTTGGGACGTATACCCGCCGTGCTTAGCGGTAATGCCGTGATTAATAGCCGGTGGGTACCAGAAGACGTTCATTGTATTCTCTAATAATAAAAGTGTAGGTGTAACTAGTATTTTTTTTTATTAATATCTGTTTTTTTTTTTTACTTAATAAATTCCTCTTAATTGAACTTAACCATCATGTTTTTCTTTATTTTTGCGTGTTTCATCGTCAATGGACTCGTGTATTTTTTTTCCTTTCAAAAATCAACTCCCCTAGTTTATAAGGTACGGGCAACGGCCTTGTATAAGGGCCTCCCTGATCTTTTTGGTTATGTGACAACTGTCACGAGGTTTTGGTGTACATCTTCTATCAACGACTCAACGGACATCGACTTCAATCTATAATAATTTTCTATTTTTTTTGTTTTAATGTAATATGATTTCTCTTTAAAATCCTACCGTGGTCCGACAATATATTGTCTCGCCCAGTAGGTTGGCGACCCTTTTCTTGTTAATTTTTCAATGCGCCATGAAAGTTACAAATTTTTCGTTGCGGTCAATTAATTCGATTTTCTTCTTTTTATAATATTTGTAACCTTTCAAATTATAATAATTGTATTAGTATTATAGAATAATAACAGGAAAAATTGGCAGGTTATTAGTCTTGAGGCTATATAAAAAATCAATGTTGATAAAAATACTGGTTACTGTGATTTGACGTTGGGCAGCATAGTTGTCATAAATAGATCCCAATGTTAACGATAAACTCCAAAAATAAGATAGTTATAACTAATACAGTCAATTAATATATGACAACAATAACATATATTAATAATGAATTAAATAGTTATAAAAATTCATATTTTACAAGTTGAGGGTCACAATAAACATATGCGCAGAAATGAGCCAATGCCTATATAAAAACCATGCGCGTGGACTTAAAAAAATATACATATAAAGATAATAGAATGTGTACATGTCTTATTGGCATACAGAAAAATCGTTATTTTTCGTTAAAATTTAATGAATTTCAAACGCTTGTAACGGCCAGAGTTTTGGTCGGATATCGGATTTTTGACGCTTCTTCGGCACCTGCAGATGGCCGTGGTATATTTGCGAATCGAAAAAAAAATCGTTTTTATATCGTAAATTTTCGCAAGAATTTCGGTTGGGTTGGGTAGTAGGGCGCCCTGAAGTTTCGAGCGTATGAAAAAAAAAAGCTCATAAAACAGTGAAAAGTTAACGGATTGAATTGATTTTTTTATAATAATTCAGAAATGTCATTAAGCGATTTTGCTGAAAATTTCAAACCTTAAGTCGTAAAACGACGGCGTCCAAAAATTTCCGACATTTGCTATTAATTTTCCTGGAGTCTGGTGACCGAGTACTTTCGTTGAAAAAAAGAAAATTTGAAAATCCGAGCACGCTAAGTAATTTTCCAGAAAAGCGTTTATTTCCTTGTTCTTTTATATAATTATTTATCACTTCGTATAAATTTAACACTGTTATGATATGAAGAGTGAATGTGTCAAACGTTCTATGTGCCAAAAACATATTTGTTCAGAAAACACAAAAAACAATGGTGGTAACATGGGCATGTCTTACATATCGAACACCATCTAAGAATGCAATTTTGTACAAGTAAAAAATTTAATTGATATTTGAAACACATACAAGATTGTGGCTTTTGGCACATAGAACGTTTGACACATTCACTCTTCATATATACAAAAACAAAAATATTACATAAAAGTATTTTTATAATCTTATTTCTCCTTTAGTGGTTAAAAACAGTTTTCTTGTGTATTTTTAAATCATTATCATAATACAAAAATGTTCATCAGTGTATATAAAATTCATATAAGATTACAGTAAAAAATAAATAAAATCTTACAATAATTAATGGCGTGTATAATAGTTCATTTTATACTGGAAAATAACGCACTAAAAAGTTGGTTTAACATTTTAACTAGTTAGGTATTTTTAACAATAACTTAATAGGATACTTGCTCATGCAACTTTAACTTAATAAGTAATATTTCTTTTAATAAGTTCAGTTTTTATTCAGTAATTACTGTTGATAGGCTATTTAGTATTGTACTAAAATAAAATATATTATAAAAGATAGACTAATCCCGTTAGTTGAAATAATATTTGAAACTATAACACATAATATAAAATTATATTATAATTTATTAATTTTTTGGAGCTGTGCATCATTGTGTGTTTCTATGATAAATATAAATAAATATCTAAAAAATAGGCATTGCATCAAATGCAAACCAGTGTTGTATAAGTAATCGCTAATCATTTAATCTTATATAAGATACATTGATGTGAAACAATTAAATTAAATACAATATCTTGTAAAATGATAAAGTAACATGATCAACTGCAATGTGTTTCTGAGCATTTGTTACTTTTTTCAAGTTCACACAGCTGCTTTCAAGGTAAATCATTGCGGTATACTGCAGTCTAGTAATTTCATAATTATAACTTTAAAATACACAGATAAATTCTATTGTTATCCCATTCCAAAGAACTATTACAAAAAACTTTAAATTCAAATACCATTGATGGTTAATAACAAAGAATTATGGGTATATTAAATGTGCCATTCTAGTGTTATAGTATGATAGTACATTATTGATCATGAATACAACGTAATACAGTAGTAATTGAATTATTCTCGTAATTATCTTTAAATTTAAAACAAATATTGGATACAAATTATTACAAGAAGATTATATTAAAACATTAGAATGGCTGCCAACATTAATCGAAGAGAGTTTTCATCACATGANACAACATTAATCAAAGAGAGTTTTCATCACATGATGATAGGGATAACTATTTAAATGTTTCACTTTCTAAAGACAGTAATAATGAGCCAAGTCTAGACAATATTACATTGATGATTGATCCAAATGTTGAAGCAAACTTGGTAAGTAATTAATATATTTTTGATAATGCAGTTTATTAAGAGCCATTTTAAAAAATATTAAAACTTGTGATTTTTTTGTTAAATAGATATCTATTGCAAAATTTTAAATAGATAGTTTTAAAACAAATTGAAAAAATACTTATGGTAATTTGGGTTAAATATGTAGATAATATTATTTCAATAATACACAAAGATTCTTATATGAAGGTCGTCATACAATATTTAATTTCTTATTATCTATTCGTTAAATTCATATATAAAATTAAAATGGTTTTCATGTACTAGTTAATAAAAATAGTGAGCAAGAATTAAACTCTGAGATCTATCGATAAAATACGTTCATATTGATTCTAACAACTTAAGGGATACCAGATTAGGTTAGTTAATACATACGTTCAAGTTGTAATAAATGATACATAGATCAATCAGAAAAAATATTAGAATTAGATTAAATAATTACTAAGAACTCAATACAAGGGAGATAATAAAAATTCACCTTTTTTTAATTAATTGGGATTTAAGCTCACAGTGTAGTTTTTTTATTATAACATGTTCAAAATATTTTATAAGCTATATTTATTTGAAAATAAGTAAATTTTTATGACGGCAACAAATTAATTTAGACTATCCATTTACTTAAATTTACACCTATAAAATATTATTGTTAATAAATTTACATGAATAAAATATTTAGTATACATTGAATAATATAAATTTTAGAATTTCATCTATACTGTTGTTAGATTATATTTCACTAAAATTATATTTATTATGTAATTACAGAACATCAGTGACGAAATTCCTAAAGCCTTCAACTTGTACAGAAACAAAAAACTTATATCCCATGGCATGATGAATGTCGCGTTATTTTCTGCCAACGCTAGTCAGTTAAGATATCTTTTAGAAACGGGAAATGGAGGTGCATTTTTCATTATCTGCGTTGTTCTTCTATTAATTAGTATTATTCTTCAGGTATGAATTATTACACTCTCGTAATAGCTATGTGTATATTTTATAATGGTTATAAAAAAGATTTCAGTTGGAATTACACTCTTGTTAAGTGCGCGATACAATGTAACTCAAAGTGATCAACGCGCCATGGCGTTCAAATTTGGAAACTATGTAATCATAGGAATATTTCTCATAACGGTTGTCAATGTTTTTTTAACTTCTTTTGGAGGACCAATGATACAGCCGCCCACGACTATAGCTAATACAGTTAGTGAAGCTGTAACTGAAATAACATTTTAGTTTTTTTAGTTTAAAGTATGTTAATAAGATATAAATTTAATAAAATAATGTTATAAGAAAATTAGCGGTACATATAATATTCTCTGTGTTAAAAGTCAAAATGTTTTTTTAGTTAAGTATATTTGTTCTAATTGTTCTATGACATAATAATACATATTAAACTGGTTATTTAAGTTTGACATATGTATATACAGGGTGATTTTTTTTACCATAATCCACTCAATTACTTATAGAATAATAATAAATTAAACATTTTTTTTTCGATTATCTTTAGTTACACATCATTCTTGAATTATTAACTATGTAATACTTTTTAAGTTCATCCCTTATAACCTGGTAAGGGTGTCAACTTTATTTTTTTAAATGGAAACGCATATTTTGAATTTAATAAAATGTTTGAGTTTTTAATTTAATAGTAAATGGCATTTGAATTTTTAGTATACCTTTATTTGTTTATTAGATATAAATATTCAAAGTTTCAAATTTTTGAGTTAATATACATACAGGGTGTTCAGTAAGTCAGGAAACGGGTATCNTATACTACATAAAGGATTACAAATATAGGTAGCTAATTGGTTTTTTATGTCATTGCTGTCACAGTCACGGATGGTTTATTATCAATTATGACTATCAATAGATATACTTTTTGTATTGTCAGTCAGTGTATTTATAAACTCACAATAATGTACCTTACTACAATTGATAATAACAATGCTGTGTACCTGCTAATATCGATGAAAAATGCAGTTTATTAAACAATTAAAATGACAAAGAAGATTACTTGAAATTTTTTAGAAGGCACATTCATTTTATATCATAAACATTTAGAACACATGAAATATGTGTAATTATATATTTTTTTAAATTATATAAAACATATCAATATGATATAACGCCTACGATACTGATATTAAAAAGTGTAACACACCTTTCTAATTTTGATGATTTCAAAACTAAGTTGTATGAAGCTGAAATATTTTTGTGCAACATACATGTTTTTTTTAAGAATTACAGTTCCATATGTTATAGAAATAAAATCATCATTTGTATTAAAACATGTACAATTTAATTTTTTTATTCCTAAAAATCTTTAAAAACTGAGATAAGTATTAATATATATGACATAAATTAATTATTGCTATTGTTTAGAGAGATTTAGTTTCCCTAATTCTATTACAGCCTTCCTCCAAAATTACGAAAACTATTTGTAAATGTATATACAATGTTGAAATATTTATAAGAAAGAAAGAATTTAAATTAAATCCTCTAAAAATTGTGTTTAAAACGCGATTATGTGCTCATAAAAATTGATCTGATTATTTTTTTATTAAACAATTTGANTTAATAAGAACACAACTCCCCTTACCCAATCAATGATAAGACCACGCCTCTCCTTACCCAATCAATGATAAGACCACGCCTCCCCTTATCCCAACAAAGATAAGACCACGCCCACTGTGTTACACGCCCCTCCCCCCCGACCACGCCTATACAGGAGGGTGGGTGAAGGGGTGAGGCGGGGGGGTTCTAGAATCCCCTAAATTACCCTACTTATATATTCTAATTACTATTAAAAATATATAATAACACACTTTATTCTTATTTAGAGATATAGAACTCATTCATTCCGATTACAAAGGATGATTCCCGTATTGTCATTTTTCGTCACTACCTCCATGTTCCGGGAGTGGGTAATTTACGCGCCTGCTGCTTTCCTTGGATGTGGGAGCCGTTTCTCAACTCCCTCCCCGGAATCGAACCGTGATTTCCCGTTACCCGTTACCCGTTACCCGTTACAACCATGATATTGATAGTAACTACTATCATAACATAAAACTAAAAAGTAAAAAATATATGTAGTTTAAAAAAACTAAAAAAACCGCTTATAAAGTACATCGAACTAAAAAGTTAAAAATAATTTTTAAAATAATACTGGTATTTTTTATTCATAACTATTTTAAAAATTATTTTTAACTTTTTAGTTTGATGTGCTTTAAAAGCGTGTTTTTTTAGTTTTTTTAAACTATATTTATTTTATTAATGGAGTAGAGCCGCCAACGGCTAAGGGCCAAGTCTTTTCGGCGAAGCATCCAAACCATTGGATTGGGATCTTCGTTTTCTTTTTAATAACTATATTTATGTAATGAGCTGTATTTTATTAATTATTTTATTTCATTTTTTTTTTATGCGTGGAGAATACGTGTTTCATCTTTCTTCTAGCCAACGCTTAGGAGCGAGTGTCCAGACCGCTCCTGGTGTTTTTCTTTAATTTCCGATTAACATTAACGGATGTGTTCCAATACCGTCCATGATTAATTTTTCTTTTTTTAACAATTAAATTAAATTTCCTTATTAATCTTACTTGTAATATTTATTTTTATTGTGCTAGTAACTTAATTACTCGCCTATATTTTATTCCTGTTCCTTAATCTAAACACGTGCTACAGTATGTTTTACATAACAACCATTTACAACTTCATTTATCATAGTTGTGGTTAATAAACCACCAGGTGTTTTAATAATTTATATTTAACATCATATTAACTCAAATCCACTTATGGTCCGTTAATCATATGTGATAGGTATGATAGCCGTCATACAAGCAACAAACTACATTGTAGCTGTAGACCGACAAAAACCGACTTGTAAACTAACGAAAGGTTAAGTTTTATTATAGAGAAAGATTTATTAGTTGTATTGGAATATAATTATTAATAATTATTGTGTTTATCATGTTACAACATTTCAACTGTTATAGTCCAACTTCCAGTCATTTTCTTAATTTAAATAAAGTCAAAACCATTATAAATTTAAAGGATTGACATGACTTATATCGCAGTACTAAAGTCGATAATATTTCAGATGGTTGCAATCCATGTTTATTATTAATGAACAACAGCAGGTTATTTAAAATACAAAACCAAAAAGACAAACGCAATTAATAATAATTTTTGCATAATATGACGCGGTGAAAAATAAAATATTTAAAAAATATAATCTTATTTATATAAATATAAAACAGAATATAATATTAATATTTAATATAATATATATTATTATATATAATATAATATTATATATAATAAAATAGAATGTTAAAATTCCATTATTTTTTTGTAAAATTATAGTTTATAATTCATAAAAATATTATTCGAATATCAAATTTATTAGCTGAGAAGGTATTAATTTTACTATGATATGTTTTTTTTTTTATTTATTTATTTTTTGTGTCTGTTACGACTTTTTCTCAGCTTTCATCGAACTGATTTATTTCAACGGTGCGTTAAAAGATCACAAACCGTATTTAGTCAACGACATTACCCTCAAAAATTGAAAAACTTTCCCTCGTTCCTCGTAAATGGGGGAAACCTCCAAAAAAATTACAAATTTAAAAATCGCTAATTTTCGAAATTTTTTCAATATTTTTTACTTAAAACTGCTATAACTTTTTCAAAATTATACAAATCAATATAAATTTTTTTTTCATAGATGTTTGATATCTTTACCTATCATTTGGTATATTTTTTTATAATATTAATTGTTTATCAGCTTACAGGGGGGGATTCAAAATGACAACTTTTTTACTTAACTTTTGAAAGTGTGAATTTATTTTGTTTTCACGATGAAAATGGCTACCAAATGATATTTTCATGTGAAAATTCTTGGTTTTATTTTTTACATTTTTAACTTTATAATGCTATAACTTAATAATCCACCAATTTTTTAAAATTAAACACTATCAAAAGATTTTTTGCAAATATAGAGCAATGTTAAAGAACTTAATTCTCTGAAATGAATTGTTGAAAATTATATGTACTTATTAAATAAAAATAATGTTTAGTATGTTTAGGGCCTCAATAATGTAGAAAAAATTTCATTATACACCTGATGTTTCATATGCCTTTTATCAAACAATGATCAAATTAAATATTAAAATAATGAATAATAAGTATATAAGTTAAAAAAAAATAATTGTTACGACGACAAATCTTGCAAACGGCTTCAGTAAAACATTAAAATACAAGCTATTTCTACATTTAATTTATACATTATGCATCTATAAAAATATAAATTACGTTGATTTGTTCTTTTTTGAAAAAGTTATATTAGTTTTAAGTAAAATAAATTGAAAACATTTCGAAAATTAGCAAAAATTAGCGATTTTTTAATTTGTAATTTTTTTGGAGATTTCCTCTATTTACGGGGAACGAAGGAAATTTTTTCAATTTTTGAGGGTAATGTCTTTTACTAGATACGGTTTGTGATCTTTTGATGTACCGTTGAAAGAAATCGGTTCAATGAGAGCTGAGAAAAAGTGGTAACAGACACACACAAAAAAAAAAAAAAAAAAAAAAAAAAAAA